AGCCCCCATCCCTCTCTGCTGACCCATTCCCGGGGGACAGTCACATCCTGGCTCAGCTTGTGCACACATCCAGCCCTTGGCAGTCTCCCACGGGGCAGCAAGTCCTGGGATCGCCCCGTCGCTGCGCAGCCCTTCTCGGCAGCTCTGGCTCTGCCGTGGCCCCAGGAGAGCAGAGATGTCAGTGCGGCAGGTGAGGGTTGCCAGTGCTGTGGGTAATAGTATTCATGCTTTTTCTGCTGCTGTGGCAAATACCTCACCTGATCCATTTCAGGACTCCATTTGCCTTTTTTATGACTGTCACGCTGGCAGCTGATAGCCCAGAACTAATGCATCTGGGACCTCCTGCCACTTCCAGCAGGAAAGTAGCAGAAACTGCTGAATTCCAACATTGCAAAATTAAATTCTGTTGCGTTTCCACTTCCCTGGTCCAGGACGAAGCTTTGGTTTCCCTGTTTGGTGTTTCAGCCTCTCCCTGCCGTGGCAGCCTTTCTCAACGGTTTGTCCGTCATGAGTATCTTTCTATTTTTATGTCAATTCATGCCTGAAGTATTGATCCCAAAGCCAGTCTCAGAGGTATTTTACTAGAAATCCGCCTTCTGCCCAGTATTTCCCATGTAAAGGCTGCCTGCTTTTCCAGTTGCTTGTGTCCCTTACAGTTCACCCTTTAACTTCATCGTCTCTGAAGTCCTGACTTCCTGTGGTATGTCGTATCTCATGCGTTACATCTATCTGGGTGATGATCCACGGCCTGTGTTTGATCCACAGAAACGGCTCATCTGACAGATCAGATTGCACGGGTATAAGCTGCGCTTAGTAAATGCCATGTTGATTTTATTTCCCTGTTCAGTTGCACTCACATCTTTTTATTGTTTTCTTTCCTTCAGACTGTTTTCTAAAGCCTTGGTAATGCTGATGTCAGCCCAGCAGGCTTGTCGCTGCCTGAATCCTGTCTGCTAGCCAAACTCTTGAGTTCAGGCTCTGGATTTGCTGTTGTGGTTGCAGAGAACCTCCCTCCGTAATTGTGCCTCTGCAGCCAAAACAGCAAATTCTTTCACTGGTGTTTCCAGAAGTCTGGGATGGGCATGATCCAGTCTTTCCCTCACCCCACACGTCTGGCTGTCTTTGCAATCCACTAGTACACCTAAATATTCACAGCTTTAAAACCTATTCCTTTTTCCAGAAAGAACTGGCAAGTCACTGAAACCCCAGATCCTGCTGTGGTATTGATGTCACACCATTGCAAGAGAATAGCTTCAGTTTTGGTGGGACAGCACTAAAATCTGGGCTGCGGGGGGAAAGGAGGGAGGGAGCGCATTGCCTTTTTGAGCTCCGAAGGAAAGACTGGAAGCGCTTCTAGCACAGGAGACTCCACAACTTGATTTCTGTGATTTCTGGCCAATGTCACTGCCCTAGCATGGGGTTTTTGGTCTCTTGCTCTGCATCACCCCTATTCCCTTGCCTCATCCTTTGAAGATGCAAAGGATCTTTGATTTCCTTCTGCCTGTCTTAGTGAAAAACATTTTGGATTTAGATCATGGATAATCACTGCCTTGATACTTGTTATCCAGATGTTGATCCAGCAGTTGGTAAAGGTTGGTATTTTCTCCCCCTCAGAAACTTGACATACCTTGCCTAAGCGATATCCCTGCTTTCGGATGCAATTGTGGCAATGCTGAATTTCCGAGGATTACCACTGCATGTGGTGGAATCTGGGAACCTCAGTAGCAAGCTATAAAGTCAGGAGGAAAGCCAGGATGTGAAGATCTTGGCAGCTCCCCCATGATGGAAGATCCTGCTGTACTTAGGGACATGGTGCCAAAATGCAGCATGAACCATTAATTTACTCTGCTGATACTCCCTCCCCAACACTGTCATATTCCTTGGCCTTTCCAAACTTCTTGGAGTCCCAGGAGCATCCCAGGGATGGGTAAGCCAGTGGTACAGGGGATGGGGTGATTGACTTGCTCTCAGCACAAACAAATAGAAGAAGAGGGATGTGTAAATGTCCACCTGCCCCCTTCCTCCCTCCTCCTCCTCACAGTCCAGGCTGTATCCCAGATCTGATGGAAGAAAACAGGCACAGATCAAGAATCAAGCCTTTCCCAGCCTCCCCTCCATGTTTGGTTTCCTCTCCAGCTGTGCAGTTCAGCCAGCTGTGGAGCCCCTTGAGCTTAGCCTTCCTGAGGTGGGCCACCGCCTGCTTGGGGTAGGCTGTGAAGGCGAGGACGGGATGGGGACAGCAGTTAGGGAACAGGATAGGGAGAGACCCCAGGATGGGAGCACGCTGTGGGATTGCATGATGAGGTGGCTGGGATGGAGCAGACAGGGAAGAGGGGTTTTGTGTGCACATCAGGGCTGAGCTGTGTTCATAGCGCTGCATCGTGAGGACTCGGGGTCTGGCGATGGGGAGAGGAGCGCGTCAGCAGCGATGCTGCAGGTGCTGGGGCTGAGGGATGGTGAAGAGGGGATGGCCACAGCTTGGCGTTGGGGGGCAGAGCTCTGTTAAGTGGCAAAGCCTGGTCTTAGTGGGGCTGGACTCTGTTAAGTCACCGTCTACAGCCCGCCTCTGGCTCAGGGAGGTCTCAGCAGCCCTGGCCTGCCTACCACTGTATAGCCAGTGTTGCTTTGCCAGCTGATCCCAAACGTTTTGGGGAAGCTTTGGGCACAGGCGGCCCGGACGTGTCTAGGTTTGAGTGCAGGCTGCCCACCACGGGCATTTGCAGCCGCTGTGACCCAGCCCTGCAGAGGATGGATGCGTGGGTCCCATGGGGCACCCAGCTGGGCTGCTGCCCACAGTGGGCACATGGGGCAGCTGCTGCATCAGCCCCTCTGCCGCAGGGCTTGACTCTATCTCCAGGCATCGTCCGCACAGCCCGGCCAGGAGCTGGTTGCTCTGCTCCTCGGGACACCGTGTGTAGCACGAGCAGACGGTTTCTGCAGCGGGAGATTTCCTGCCGTCGGGCCCTTGTGAAAACCTGACATCGGGCCAGCCGTTCGCTCTGCAGGGCTTGGCGAGCGCCCCGGGCAGGGGATGGTGTCATTGCTGCGGAGAGCAAAAGCTGTCAAGCTGGAGCGAGTGCGGAGCGCTGGCGTGTTCCCCCTGCCAGCTCGGCGCTCCCAGCTCCTCCAGCCGCACGGGAGCAGCCTGGCAGCTTCTTTTACTGTATTATTTTCTCTTCCCCTTTTTTTCTGGAACCCTGTACAGCGTGAGTGTAGCAGGGATCCCAGGGGGTTAGCTGCTATCCGGAGAAGACGCCTTGTTCTCTGCCAGATCTTGTGCTGGGGAAGGGCTGGAGGAAATCCATTTTGCAGCGTTTCGGCTGGGCTGTTGGGCGTGCGAGGTGAGGCTGTCTCTGGCCAGGCTTGTTCCCCTGCTCCAGCAGCACGGAAAGGTGCAGCCCAGGTCGGTCAGAGCACGGATCTGACCTGCCCGACCTCTGCTCGCTCACCGCTTCACTGCAGATTTGCTTTTTGTTCACCCTAAAGAGCCGTGAGCCAGCCCGCTCCGGGCCATGACCTGACCCTGCGCCTTTTCCTGGGACAGCGTTTCCGCATACCCCTGCCCGTGGGCAATTTGCATTTCTAGCAGCTTCAGGTCAGCCTGAACCACCTGGGCTTTGCTTATGTCCCTCCTAAGAAAGGTTCTGGGTGATGCACGTGTTAATCTCGAAAACAAACGCCTCCACGTTGCTTTTACTAAATATAGGATGTGCCTGCTGTGGTTCAGGGCGCTTGCAGACAGCCCACAGCAGGGTCGCGCTCTTAAATCGAGCAGGAGTTTATCAGCCCCGGCGAGGAAAGAGACTTGAGTTTAATGCTCCCTGTCTGCAGATTCGAGCTGCAGAGAGTCGAGTTTTCAAGGTCGATCTCATTCCCTGTCATTTGCAGAGGGCTGAGCCTGGAAATGTGAAACGGGGCTCCTCTGGGACGAGCATCTCAGCCCAGCGCTGTGTATGTCGGATCTTACACTTATCTCCTGTTAGCACAGATGCCGTTTCACCCTCCTGTGGGGTAACTGATACAGGGGATTGAGGAAGAAGCCGTACCCTCTCGTTGAGTCACATCTCGATCCATCCAGGGCTGCAGGAAGTGTCATTTCCCACAGCCGCGCAAGCGTACATGCGCTGCTGATGAAATCTTGTGAGGTCGGGCAGTCATTTCCCCCTAATTACAGCTCCAGGAATGAATAATGTTCTGGTAACTTTGTGCTTTGGACCGGTTTTCATTTAAGGAAAATATAAGCACATGAAAATGAAGACAGGATATGGATTTTTCCTGCTGGTTACTTTGGTTAAAAAGATGCCATCTGGGGCTTGTATAACAAATTTGGTTTTGTTTGGTGATGGTCAGTGAACTAAAAGATCCAGAGACCCAAATTGTCATGCAAAAAGCCTCAGTGTTAGAAACCTTCATGTTGCCAGAAAAGGTTTGTGAGAGATGCTTTTTCCTCCACTATATACATCCCTCTCAGATTTTAGAAGGGCCCTGTAGGAGCAGGAACTTGGAGGACTGGAAGAGCCTTCCAGACCATGATCTCCCAAACAGTGTGTCCCATTTTACCCTTAAAAAACCCCATTATCTTCCATTTTAAAACTCACAGTGGGGTTTCTTCTGTAGAAGCCAACACCAGGACTGCACAACCCCCATGGTTAGAAACCTCCCCATAGGAAAACTGCGGTGGCATCCTCTGCCGACAGAGAGGGTCAGATGCAAGAAGCAGAGGGTGGGTGTGAGGGGACAGATGCTTGGGTGTGTTACTGCAGGTGAGAGTCTGCGCCCCTGTCGTGGCTGGCTCCATGCACTGGGTTTGGGTTTTCCAGGCCACGTGGTTCTGCCCACGTTGTGTGGGAAACAGGTCCCTGAGGGATGGCGGCTGAAGCTGATGCTCCATAGCCTGGAAGGTGGTTGCATCCCTACATAATAGCTTGGGCATCTCCAGAGGGGGGGAGGGAAGCAGCCCCTCCCAACCCCTCTGATTTTTCTTGCTCCTTTTCCAGCTGCAGAAGACGGGGTTATGAGATCCACCTGGCAGGGGAAGGCTGGTCGCAGCCCACTCCAGGCCCTGTACGAGAGTGACCAGGTAAGGGGACGGGGAGAGGGAGATGCGGGGGGGTGAAGAATGAGTGGGGTGCTGGGGGTTGACCAGAGGGTTCTACCACTCTGGTGTGCAGGGCACTGCGCTGTCTCCAATCACCCCCAAGGTCCCTGAACCTCTGGCCGTGTCCAAAAGACCACACCGCTTTGGGGAGTAATTGTTGGTAAAAAACAGCTTATGGCCATTGCTGGTACTTGGGCAGATGGTTTAATTACCAGTGGGCTGAGCCATGGCTGGGCAGACCCGGGAGGTTTCACCACCTGAGGATTTGAGGGTCAGCTCTGGGCCATCATAGCAGGGCAAGAGCATCATTGCTGCACTTTTGAGCTAATAATTGACAGGTGCTTCTGTGCTGGGTACTGTGTATAGATACACACACACGTGTTTATATACGTATGTGAAGCTGGACCCAGCCACGAGGTGTTTATAATCCTGGCACATCTCAGTCCTCTCCATCATGCTGAGCTGTGCCAGCTACACGTGCTGAGAAGGGGGCAGCCAGGCAGTCTGGGCAGGGTACCGCTCCCCTCCAGGTGGGTTTAATGGATCGCTGCCCGTGCGAGGGTCTGCTGCAGGACAAGCCACGGTCGCTGCTGGAGGTCGCTGCGGGAGGCAGGGAGCACTCGCCCTCGCCAGCATCTGCGGTGACTGGCACTGGGGAAGGTGTCCCGCTTCCCTTAGCAGCTGAGTGGGAGCCTGGGGGTTTGTGGTGGAAGCTGCAAAAGGTGGGTGTGCTTGTTTCCTTCTACTGTGTTTTCCCCAATGCAGCCAGGCTTGTCTTTGGAGAGGGGTCCTCACCCACAGCTTCCCTCCAGGAAGTCTGGCAGGAAAACACCCTCCAATGGGTGCCATGGGCTGGGCCATGGCTACATACCCCAGCCACCAAATGTGCCCTGCATCTCCCAGTGTCCGTGGGGCCGTCATCCTCTGCAGCCCCCAAGAAGCAGAGGGCAACACCGTTGGTCCCTGCGCTGGCTGCAGTCTCACTGCCCATCAGCAGTGCCCGCTGCAGCCGGAGCCAGATCGCTGTTGCATACGCGATGCTTGGCGTTGCTGTCTGTAAGCAGCTTGATGCTTTCACCTCTGTAAGTAGCCAAATTACATTTGCTCTGGGAAAAATGGCAAATGTGGATTTCCTTGGCCGTGACTCCAGCAAACCCTAATGCTGCTGGAATGTGGTGGTGTTACTTCCCTAAAGTTGATACTTAATTTCTCTGGCTTTGAAAGAGAAGGAAATGAAGGGAGCAGTTTTGCTCTGAAATAACTGCAAGACATGCACTTATTCCGGTGGGTGGCTGTTGAAAAGGAGTCACATTTATTTGTTGCCATGCCTGCAGACAGTGTCTGTCTGTCTGTCTGGTCCAATAGTTTTGAATTATGCAAGTGCAGGGAAAAACACCTAAAAAAGAAAATCACATTATTAAGATGCCTCTTTTTTGAAGCACTTGCAAAAAGGATTTCCAATTTTAAAATGTGATGGGGAGCCTCCAAAGAAATTTCTACTGAAAGGTTTGGCTGGGTTGCAGGGAGGTGTGCTGTGAGAATGCCTCTTCAGCTGTGATTACTGCCTCCCTAGGTGCTGTATCTTCTTTATATCCAAACAGCCAACAGTGTCAAAGCTGTATTTTGGTGGCAGTTAGAGTCTGTTGACCTGCATTTCCTCCATTTTCCCTTACCATCTCCCTCTTGGAAGGAACAGGGATGGGATGCTTTCTCCCAACCCTGTTTCAGGTTACTGCCCATGCAGGTTCCTGGAGAAAGAGGTCACTAAGATGACCTGACCAAGGTTATTTCTTTTCTGGAAATGAAATCCAAAAGGGTCTGAGTGTGGTTCATCCCTTGCAGGAGGCGCTTTTTGCCCAGATGTCAGTGCCCCTCCAAAGCTGATGCATCTGCTGGATCATCCGTGGGATGAGCAGTTTGTTTCAGTATCCCAACTCCTGGCAGGGGTTTTACACACCCTAATTCCTGCCTCTCCTAGGCTCTGGTGCCTCCCAAATCCCCTAATGGTTCCCCAGGAAGAGGTGAGGGTGCACCTGAAGCCTGGCAAAGGGTGTCCTTTGGCACACCTAAGCGATGGCAGCTGCCGGCAACAGGGATGTAGGGGACCAAGGAGGTAGCCTGTCCTTGCCCCGCATCTTGCGGTTGCCACGCCTGTTTGCCGTGGCGCCCTGTGATGCTGACAGGACCGTCTTCACAGCCCCAGCGTGGAAGCCACCGTCCTCTTGTGACACAGCGATCATTGCGTTGCGTTAGAGCCACAGCTCCGCGGGGCAGAGCTCCGGGTTAGCAAACGGGCCGTGAAGCCGTTAGCGTGGCCAGGATGAGGCTGTTGGAGGTTCCCAGCGATAACCTCCAGGCTGAACATGAAACCTCCCAAACCTCGTGAGCACAAGGGGGAGGGAGTGGGCAGGAGGAGGAGGGGACCTTCCCCTTCTGACTTCCTGGAAATGGTTTCCTTCCTCAGATGTTATAATGACATTTTGCGATTTCTGACAAAAACCATGATGGGAAAGGACATGTCCCCAAATCTGGGGGAGGGGGTTCAGCTGGAGCAGGGGTCAGGGGGCTCTGGACTCCTGGGAAGCCAGTGCGGTGGCTGCCAGGCCTTGATGCAAGGGTCAAAAGGGATAAAGAAAAGGACCATACATGGACTCATTGTCGCTGTGGACAAAGGAGACTGTGACTGAGGCATCGGACTGGCCTGTGTGGGAAGTCCCTCAGGAGAAGAAACCCAGGCGCTCAGGAAGGGCCCCACCGCCACCTCCAGCAGCACCTAGCTCCTCTCCATCATGCCCTGCCACCCTGCCTCACCTCCAGCTCCCCAGAGTTCAGCCATCAGCGTCACAGACCACTTTCCTCTACCCGTCTCCCTTTGCCGGTCCTTGGCAGCATACCCATGCCGTGTTCATCCTGCACTCGTGTGCCAGGTTTCTCCTCCTGGCTGCAGCATTCGCAGCCAGCCCGCGGGTGCAGGCGTCAGTGGGACGCGGTGATAACCACATGACAGCCAGGAGGTACACGGGGCTGCACTGGTTGTCCCTGGAGGGGCTGGGCCACGCATGCCCTCCTGGACTGCGGTAAGGGAGAGCACTGTAGCCCAATAACAAATGTTCCGTTATTGACCCCCCCTCTGCCCTCACACCCTTTGACTTGTCTCCTCATCAAGCTCCTCGTCACCTTTTGTTCTCTCTTTTGTCCCCAGCAGTTAACTTAAATGCACCAAATCAAGTTGTGTTCAAAGCAGATGCTGTCCCTAAAAATCCCACATGGGTGACTGGCAGACCCAGGAAAGGGGAGGTAACCGGGACAGTTGTGGGCCATGTTGCATGCAGTCCACAATCAGCTTGGGCAAGCTGGTGACCATCTCTCTTTGTTTTCTCCCCAGTTTGAGCAGTCGTCACTGCAGGCGGTTCACCAGCAGAGACGGGAGCTGTTGAGCAACGTCTGCAACCGTTACACCCGCAAGCGGCGTCTCCTGCGGCCGGATGACTTGCGGCACTTGGTGGTAGACGACACACACGGGCTTCTCTACTGCTACGTGCCCAAAGTGGCCTGCACTAACTGGAAGCGGGTGATGATGGTCCTGACGGGGCAAGGCAAGTACCGGGACCCACTGGAAATCCCCGCCAATGAGGCCCACGTCTCGTCCAACCTGCGCACCCTCTCCGAGTACAGCATCCCCGAGATCAACCACCGCCTGCGCAGCTACCTCAAGTTCATCTTCGTGCGGGAGCCCTTTGAGCGCCTGGTCTCGGCGTACCGCAACAAGTTCACCCGCAGCTACAACACGGCCTTCCACAAGCGCTACGGGACCAAGATCATCCGGCGGCACCGGCAGGAGCCCAGCGACAAGGCCCTTGAGCGCGGGGATGATGTGCGCTTCGAGGAGTTCGTCTACTACCTTCTGGATCCACGGACGCAGCGGGAGGAGCCCTTCAACGAGCACTGGGAGCGGGTGCACTCGCTCTGCCACCCCTGCATCGTCCACTACGACGTGGTGGGCAAGTACGAGACCTTGGCTGAAGATGCCAACTACATCCTCCAGCTGGTTGGGGCCGACACGAGCGTCAAGTTCCCATCTTCATCCAAGACTACCAGGACGACGGACGACATGACGGCCCAGTTCTTCCAGGACATTAGCCCTTTCTACCAAAGGAGACTCTTTAATTTATACAAAATGGACTATTTGCTCTTCAATTACTCCATCCCCTCGTACCTCCGCATCCGATGAGGCAGGGGCTGGGAGGAGAGGTGAGGGAGAGCTGGGTAACTCTCATCTTGCCACAGTTCCTCTCCTCCCACCCTGTGCTCATCTCTGGGTTGACTTCTCCCCTGTGCCCACTCCGTTATGGTCTGCTCCATGTCCTGGTGCCTTCTTCAGGCAAGGTCTGGAGGGAAGACATCTCTCAAAACACTGGGGCTGGAGCTTTTCCTTTCCCTCCCATCCTTCAACTTCTGTGAGGGATGGTGGTGGGACTGGACACTGCTGGGTAGGAGGGTTTGCCTTGGCTGGGGACTTTTAGCTAAGAGACTCCTCTGTAGATCCAAGTCTTGGGAAGGCTCCTTTTTTTGGGCAGGATCCCTTCAGGTCTTTCTCCTCCTTACTGGGCTGTTTGGGGGCGGACGTAGCGTCTTGGTGGGCAGGGGGAGTGTGTCAGAGACTTGCATAGAAATAAAGCAATAATTTAATGTAAGTTTTTCCTTTCGTTTAAAATTGCTCTCGCCTTTTCCTTTTGCACTGTTCTCCGTCCTCCCCCAGCTTCCTACGCCGTCCCTATTGCTGGAGAAGGCAGTGGCGTGTTACTGTGACCACGCATTTCTCCCTGCCAAACCCTGGAGGGCTTTTTTGTTCCTCTTCTTCCACGTGCTATTGGTTGGGATGCAAAACACTCTGAAGAGAGAGAGAGAGCGCCAGGTTTGCAGCAAGCATGGGCTGACAGAGACACAGCGCTTTCTCCTTAGCTACAACAGCAGGGCACTCGTGTGCAACTCTAATTTCTGGTCAAATCCAATAAATCCAGGCCCTACACCTCCTGTTTTTTAAGAGCAGCTGATGACAGTTTTGCAAAGCTGTATGGGTGCAGGCATCTGCTCAGATGAAATCTCGTCACCCACGGTGTCCTGCCCATGGCCCCGCAGGGCTAGCAGGACCCAGCTGGCAGCACTGGCCTCTCGTCCCCTGCCACCATGAGCAGCTCCGTGCGCAGCTGGTGCCTCCGACACGGGGTGGCCACATTGCACCGGGGATGGAGGAAGGTGCTGGTTTGAGTTAGGGTGCTTCGGGGAGCACTGTGCTGGGGTGTGGGAGATGGCAGTGGTAATGGAAGGGTGATGCTGGGCTGGGGAGGCCAGAGAAAAAGAACGTGTGTGCATCTGTGTGTGTGTGCGTGCATGTGTGTGTGTGTGTGTGTGTGTGTGTGTGTACATGCGTGTGGGTATGAGAAAAAACAGGATAAAAATGGGGACAGAGACACCTAGAGGAAAATTCCCCTTCGCCTGGCTGGCTTTGGACAATTCATCCCTTGAAAAAATGGGGAGATGAGGGTGAAACAGACAAGAAAATGACAACACCAGTCCTGGGATTTTAAATTAAAACCAGTCCAAGGAGCTGTATTTCTTTAAAACCATATTTGAGGCTTTCCTCCTCTCTGTTGGGCTTTGGCTTGCTGGCTGCCTTTGTAAATAAACACGCTGGTAATAGATGCTGTAGAGCGTGTCTGCTGGCTCGGCTGCGAACACTTGACTTATTAGTGCAATACAATGGGAGGTTTTATAAAAACCCAGTGCTCTCAAGCTCTTGTAAAAAATGTTTTCATCTAACAACTTTCGGCTGCTGTATCTTAACCTTTTTCCTCTCTCCTCTGATCCGCACCTATGCGCTGACACTCTCCTGGGTTGCTCTGTTTGGGGATTGGGTTTAGCAAAGCAATGAAAAAGTAAATAAAATTGCTGGTGACCCTGGCAGTCTGACCAATTCTCCCAATCTGGGCTGGAGATCTTGTGGAAATGGCCTTCTGTGTGCTATCTCAGTGTCTCCCCGTCTAGCTGAAAGTCAGAGCACAAAACCAGATTATATGATGCAAAAAATCTCATCTGCAGCATTCAGGCTTGGAGCGCATTCCTTCTGCCTTCGCCGGAGTCTCACGTTCCCCGCTCGGCTTTGCCTCTGCTTGGAAAAATCATTGTTCAAGTCACCACAAGCTCTTCTCGTTGCTTTTGGTCATGAATCATAATTTGGGGTCAGATCAGAGTCACGAAGGGATGGATTTCTTTTTTTTCTTTCCGTAACTACTGTTCTCTGCAGGTAGCTCTTCAAAGCTGATGGCAGAGCGAGTGGCAGGGGCTCTGCCGTGGTGCTGTCTGCAGGTGTTCTGGCAACATCTGGCTGGCTGGAGGCCGTTTCGGGCTCGCTTCAGTGTGAAAGCGAGGGAACAGCATGCTCTGGCCTTTTTACGCAGCTGGTTTCTGACCTTTCCTACAGCGGTGGCGATTTGGGAGAGGGTCCGGGATGTGATGGCTGTATGGGGGGCAGCCCGGCATCCCCATCTGACCTGACCCATTGCCCCGGACAACCGCGAAGCCACGCGAGGATGGAGCGAAGCAGCCCTCCAGCCTCGGCCATGGTCTGCTAAGGGCAATACCTGCTGAGATTGGCTCTGTCGCAGGGCGTCTTTTGGGTCACGTAGGACCTCTGGAAACACCCACCTTTGGGCTTTTTCTAAAAAACCCCAACCAACAGCCACAATCCATCCCATTTAGGTCATACCCTTGGCTTTCCCCTTGCCTAAACACCGTCTTTCCAAGCAAAACCTGCCCATGGGCACGGAAAACGGCAGGGCTGGAGCAAAACGGAGTTACGAGGACACCGTGTGACGGCTGGTCGCAACTACGAGGGGTTTGTCGTCCGTACGGCTTCGGGGGCCGGGAGCTACCCCCCCGGGGGGCTCCTGGTTGTGGCTTTTTTTGAAGCTGTGTCACCGCATCCCTTTTTCCTGCTAGGGGAGAAAATACCGCTACACTCTGGAAATACCACAAAACACTACACCTCTGTAGTGTAACTGGATTTGGGTTTCTCCTCTACGTGGAGCTGGGAATGTGGGGGTGCCTGATGTGCAACAAGGGCATGACAGGCCGGGGGGTGCCCGGGGGAAAACCCCCAGGAGCGAGGAGCAGGGCATCATCCCCTCAGCCCCGCTGTGAGCCGGGAGCGCTTCCAGGAGGAAGACGGGACTGAAATGCCACCACTCGGGATGGCTGTTAGTGGGTACGGGGCGTTGGGGGGGCTGGCCTGGGGGACTACATACCATGAACCGTGCGGCGTTTTGGCCAAGGTTTGGTGATGAGTGGAGGTGAAGACTCTTCCCGGGCAGCGCCGTAACCAGCGAGGTGAAGACAGAGCCAACCGTCCCACCAGGAATGAGCTCAGCTGCTGTTGCCTGGAGAAAGAGCAAAGGGATAACCCCGAGGGCAGCAGGGGCGTTTCTACCTCTGCACAGACTTCTTTTGGTACCCCTAAGTGCAAACCTCACACTGCCAAACTAAACCCCAACTTGGTATTTCTGCAGGGAAATAAACCTTCCCTGCAGGGCTGGTACCCAGGGGTACCTGTGTCCATTACCCCCACGGCCCCACACTGGGAGCTGCTGGGTTGGGGGACACGGAGGGGACACCAGCCGAGGATGCTGGTGGCTCTGGGGCGTCCCGGCTGCACTGTGGAATGCACCAGCCCTGCCGGAAGGAGCAGAGACACCTGAGCGAGGGCGGCTGCAATCAGCCACCTACCCCATCACCAAGCACCTCGTCTGCTGGGGCCTGTGGGGCCGGGCACTGCACCTCACTGGTGAGTCCTCAGTGCCCCTTCAGCAGCTGAGGCAGGAGGACTGGTTTGGCCAAGAGAGAGTCGCCATGGCCAGCGGGGCCAGGGTCACCCCAGCTTGGCAACAGGAGCCCAAAGGCAAACAGAAAAATCCAAGTTAGACGCAATGATTGCACATGGCTCAGCCTCAGAGAAGGAATAACCTTGCAGACTCCATTTAAACCCTCTCCTACTCACCCCCCCATCAAGTGCTGATTAAAATTAAATCATTAAAGAAACAAAGCATGGCTATTGCTGTATGATGTAGCATTCAGCCATCAGAGTCACAGGGTGCCTGTGTCACACAGCCAAGATGGGGCAAGTGCCAGCCCTGGCCTCGCTGCAGAGAGGACCATGGTAGCCACAGCCCCCTTAAAGGCTGCTGGTACCACGCAGGTCCCATCCTGCCCCCAGACAGGCTGCAGAGCTTGGGGACAAGCAGCTCCAAGTGAGACAGGTTGCTCCTGGGGTTCGGCCTGAGGCTGGGGAGCTGTCAGAGCACCAGGGACGCAAAAAACAAGTAACAACAGCCTCGCTTTGATATGTCCATGCGTGCACACATATACAACATAACAATTCTATTATAATCGTTAATATATAATCATGTAATAGAATTATTGCAAATAACTGAGGTGTTTATAGGTGATAATACATGCATTAGATGTAGTATGTATATGTGTAAAAAGTATGTATTACAAGAATAACTAAACAGCATTTATGATTATACTTACATATTATATGTTGACTAGTTGTATACGGCTGTAATGCCCAATAGCCGTTTGGTTTACGTACGTCTACATATGTGTGTGTGTACAACATCCTGTTGAGCATGTAAATACACACATATCTTTCCCACCTAAAAGAGACAGCACCTTCCCTTCCTGCAATGTTAAGCTTTGCCGCAGTTCAACGTGGCTTAGCAGCTAACGGTGAGCTGGACCCTTCCTCGCAGTGCTGCTAACAGCTCTGCTTGCTCCAGCCTTCGGAGCGTGGCGGGCACTTTGCCTGTGCTGTGGGTGTTTCATCCTGTGGAGCCGCTGGCCCCCATCCCTGGTGTCCCATGTGAAACTCTTGTCTTCTCCTTCCAGTGGAACAAAACTGAGCTTCAGTGATAGGGAGGTTTCCTTCCAGAGCTTGCTGTGCACCACAGATTGGGTTGTTTACCAGCTGGAGGATTAAATAGGCTTCCATTGAAGGGAAAAAAAATATGTAAGTGTTTTCAAGTATGTCTTGGAAGCAGAGTCTCGCTTGAAGGAGGATTTTCAGACTTGCTTGTATTTGCTGGCTGGCACTTCACTTGTCCCTGGTAAGGACGGTGCATCTCGCACAAAGTAGAGCTTCTGGAAAAATACTGTATTAGAAGGGAGGCAGTGAGTGGAAGCTGGGGCAGAGCAAAATAAATGCTTTGACTGTCCCCCAAAACAAACCCCTGCTCCCATCTCCCTACGGCTGGCGACAGCCCCTTCTTTGCTTGCAGAGGGAAACCCTTCTGCACCCAGGAATGAGGGAGCCCCTGACCACCCTTCCTCCCTGATGCAGCTGGGATCACCCTGAGGTCCCAGCAGCCACCCCAGCACCCCAACACACCGGCCTCGTGTGGTGCAGGGCAGGCACCCACCCGGTCCCAAACTCCAGTGCCCTTCCTCAGCCCCCATCCCACAACACTGACATTGAGTTTACTGGGGGACAACTACTGGCTGACCTCAGGAGAGAGCCTGAACTGCTAACACAGTGTGAAGCAAAACCAAGGGAGATTTGTAAAAATTACTTTTTTTTACTGCCTCCCAGTACAGCATGTGTCAGCTGGCTGATGGCTGCACAGGACTTGGGGGATCCAGCACAAAGCACTCCTTTTTTTAAATTTCTGCTGTATTCAAAACCAACTAGTCTCGTTCTAAGACACTCCACGTTTGCCTTCATTCCCCCTAGAGATTAGAACAAGGTAACCTTTGACTGGGATCTCGTAGCATTCGATGGGTTTCTCAGCCCAGGGCAAGGCTAAGCCCAAAGGGGAAAAAGGAGGAAGGGGAAAGATTAAACAGGCTGGGCAGCCACATAACTGGCCTTTTGCTGCCCTAAAAAAAAAAAAAAAGAAAAAGAAAAAAATCCCCTTTTATTGAAACCATTTCCTTTGGTTATATCATTTCGCTGGAGGCAATTTTTAGTCTTAAGCGCGTTCCCTGCATTAGGTGCACGGCCGCGAGGCTGATGCTTGGCTGCCCCCCACGGGGTACCCCAGAGAGCAGCGTGCCTCCCTGTGCCCCTCACCACGTCGGCTCATAGCCCCAGTGCCTCCTGCAAGGGGGAACCCCCAGACCCAGCACGGGCAAGGTGCGGCACGGGTCACCCGGCCCAGCTGGGTCCTGCAAGTAGGACACAGATGGCATCCATTACGTGTTCCCATCCGTGCTCTCTGTCAACAGTGACAACCAGAGCAAGCTGAGCAGTGCCCAGAAACCCCCGACGGAGGGACACACCGGTGCAAGGGCGTTGTTGCAGGTGTGTGGCAGAGGAGCAGCCGTGCGTTGGGCACTGGGAATCGATGCTGGAGGAGAGTGACTCGGGTGCCTTGCAGTCAACACCAGCCATGGGCTCTGGTCTGGGGCTTTTGAGGGACTGGAGGGAGCGAGGGCAAAGCTGTGCTATTCAAAGGGAGAGTTTCACGTGCCTGGGACCCTGTAGAGGGCTGGGGTGTCGTCAGCAGCTTGGCCTTAGGACCAGCCTTACCTTATTCACGCCAGCAGCAAAAGCACCAAGGTGAGGAGAGGACCGCTCCACGGCAGCGGGGTCAGGCGGTATGGTGGGGAGAAGAAAACCCGGTGTTGAGGCAGGAGAAGTTATTTGCCAGAAGCCAGTCCTTCTGGGGGTGCCTTCTTGGAGGAGCAGGTTTGGATGGAGTTACAGGGCTGCTGATCCAAGCTGTGCTCCGGGGTTACGCATAACCTTTGTTAGCAAAGGCCCTTTCCCATTTGCACAGAGAAGGAGAGAAAAGGAGGAAGGAGACAGGTGCTTCTAGCAAATCAGCGGTAATAAAGGTGTACAAAATAAAATGCTAATCTCAAGTTATTAACATACATACGTGCATATCTCCTAATGCAACCCCCTCAAACCGGGACCGGCAATCAGACGCTTGCTTCGCTCTCCCCGCAAGCCCCCTCGGCCGCCGCCGCAATTATCACACGTGGGTGCTGGGGGCTGACAGCGGTGCAGCCGAGCAGAGCTGACAGCACACAGGCTGCAGCGAGAGATAAAGCTGCGAGGCCCGAGACGGGGGGAACGTGTGCCTTGAATGCGGAATCTTCCCCCACCGTGAAGCTGGTGTGTGCGCACTCCCCACATCAGCTGCCATGGGGTAATTTATCGTGCGTAACAGAAAAGGAAGAGAGGAAAGAGAGAGGAGAGAGGGAAGGCAATTGCTTATTTTTTTCCAGGGAGTGCTTTTCCCTCCCAAAGCTGAACATCTTTTCTGCCAGGGACTTTCAGCCATGCCTAAGGCTTGAGGCCTCAGCTCTGCAGCAGCCTGGCGGGATCAGAGCTGCACCAGGAGCAAAGAAACACCCAAGGCCAGTAGGCACCCAGCGCAGCTCAAATCTAAGTGTTTTAAGAGCTGGCAGGCCCTTGAACAAAGCGTCCATCTGCCAGCTGGCAGGTGGACTTGATCTCCCTCTTTCC